CGCGGACGAGGTGCAGCACTGGGCGGCATGGTGTGACGACAACAACCTGGCGCTCAACACCCAGAAAACCAAGGGGATCATATTGGACTTTAGGAGGGGTAGGAGCCAGGCACAGTCCCCCATCTACATCAGCGGAGCTGAGGTAGAGCGCATGTCTGACTTCAAGTTCCTTGGTTTTCACATCTCTGATGATCTCACCTGGTTCCTAAACTCCTCCATTACAGTCAAAAAAGCAACAGTGTCTTTACTTCCTATGGAGCCTCAAGAAAGCTCACCTGTGTTCCGGGATACTGGTGAACTTTTACCACTGTACCATTGAGAGCATACTCACAAACCGCATCTTGGTGTGGTTCGGCAACTGCTCCGCATCTGACCGCAAAGCCCCCCAGCGGGTGGTGAAAACTGCAACGTATCACAGGAACCCAGTTACCCTCCATTGAGAATATTTTCCATATGCGCCGCCTGGACAGGGTGAGGAACATGATCAAGGACGTTTCTCATCCTAACCATGGACTTTTTACCCACCTCCCAACTAGCAGGCGTAACAGAAGCCTCCATTCCCGCACCAGCAGGGTCAGGAAGAGTTTCTTCCCTGAGGCTCCACACTTAATCTGCACCCGGTGTAAGCACCACCTCTGGACTCTGGAGCAGTGGAAACTTCAGCTTCTCTATCTGTCAGTCTGATGGACGAGTCTGGGTTTGGCGAATGCCAGGAGAACGTTACCTGCCTGACTGCACTGTGCCAGCTGTAAAGTTTGGTGGAGGAGGGATGATGATATGGGGCTTTTTTTTAGGGGTTGATCTAGAACCCTTAGTTCCAGTGAAGGGAAATCTTAATGTTTCAGCACCAAGACATTTTGGACAATTGTACACTTCCAACTTTGTGGGAACAGTTTGGGGAAGAACCTTTCCTGTTCCAGCATGACTGAGCCCCAGTGCACAAAGCAGCTCCATAAAGGCATGACTGGGTGAGTTTGGTGTGGAAGAACTTGACTGGCCCTCACAGAGCCCTGACCTCAACCCCATCACACACCTTTGAGATGAACTTGAACAGAGGTTGTGAGCCAGGCCCTCTCGTCTGACCTCACAAATGCTCTTCTGTATGAATGAGCAAAAATTCCCACAGACTCTCTCCAACATCTTGTAGGAAGCTTCCCAGAAGAGTGGAAGCTGTTAGAGCTGCAAAGGGGGACAATCTCCACGTTAATGCCTATGGATTTAGAATGGGATTCATAAAAGCTGCTGTAGGTGTAACGTGTAGGTGTCCCAATGCTTTTGTCCATACAGTGTATGTCATTTCCACACAGAGTCTTCTAATTTATAACTTATTCCATTTAACGACCCACCCTGGTCTGGTCTGTAATGTGATACACTAACTTCAAATAACAGTGATTCTTTTGCTCATGTTGTGTTTTATTTTGCATTTTGTTTAATGTGTTAATCTGAAGCTCAAATGGTGAATCAGAGCGCCATGGAGACAAGATTTGGGACTGAACTGGAGGAGCTGAAGAGAAAAAATGATGGTAATTATTTCAAATCTATTTGTTTATAATTGAAAAAGAGGAATATTCTCTTACATCCCAAGTTTTACTGTGTTCTATGAATTTCCGAGTATAGGATTTATTAAAGTAGACATACACATTCAGCTTTTTTGCATGAATAAAAAAACACCATTCAACATTAATCATTCCCAGATCAGTCTCAGAGAAAAAGTATACATACTCAGCATCACCCTTTCTTCGTGAATTGTTGGATTTTGAATATAGTTTTATGAAAATAAATGTGCTTTCACTTGAGATATGAATGACTGTAACAGATCTACTGTATGCACTGTTACTCAGAGGAACTGAAAGACTTGAAAACCTCATTCAAGGTCACAGAGAACCAAGTGGAGAGCCTGAAAGTGGAGAATCAAGGTAATGAATTCAAATTTCTATAAAACAGTTGAGAAAGATGTGAGAAGAGGATGTAGAATATAAAATGTGAGGAAGCTGCTGACATCATTGCACTTGTTGTTTTCAGACTAGCTTATAATGATTTAATGTACACAATCTAACTCACTTTCTAACCAACCTGAGATATACAGATTCAGCTGCAAATGAATCTGTATAATTAATAGTTCACTTCATGTGGCAAATTATTAAACTTGAACACTAATACTAAATTCCAATTGTAAAAAAAAATTAAATGCAAATAAAAAAAGCAGTAATTAATAAATCCACTTTGACCTGTAATTAAACGAAGACACTATAATGATATTTGGATTTAGATGTTTTATCTCATCGACTTTATTGCTAGTATAATACTGTAAGTCAGTATTAAAACAATGTTTTAATGTAATGAACAAGAACTAGAGTCAGTTTCCACGTTATGTGACTAAAAGTGTAAAATGTTCTGTTTATTGAAGAGAGAAAAGTGGCGTTTTCAGCATCACTTTTAGTAGATGGAGATGGTCATACTGGGCCATACAGCACTTTATTTCCTCTGGTCTACAAAAACGTCTTCACCAACATCGGCAAAGCTTACAACCCAGCTACAGGTGAACTGTTTCTAAAAGATTATATTGTACATGTATAGTATAACCATTCATAATTATTTTTTTCACAGTATATTTTAATGTATATAATATAAATATATAATTTTAAGAGATATATTTATATTAAAATAAATTCTAACTGAAAACTTTTTTGTCTGTTTTATCGCATTTGTCAAGATTCACTGTAATCATTTATACATTTACATGTAAATGATACATTCTGTAAAAATGACTAATGGACGGTTTGCTAAAATGCTAAACTCCTAAAAATATAATGTAATTTCGCAGTATAATGAACAGAGTTAAGGGAGGATTCTTCCTCCATTCCCACCATATATTATATAGTTTGCTATTTTTACCAATATTTACCTTTCAACAGGAATTTTCACTGCGCCTGTGAGAGGAGTCTACCAGTTCAGATTCCACATCCACGGATATAGTGGAAGAGTTGTAGCAGTGCAATTACATAAGAATGGACATCAGGTAGCTGGAACATATGCTTATCAGGACCAGCACAGAGTGAGTTCCTCTAATGGAGTCTCACTGTTACTGGAAGTAGGAGACGTCGTCTGTATTAAACTCCACCCTAATTCATGGATATATGATAGTGACTTTCATCATTGCACCTTTAGTGGTCACATGCTGTTTTCTATTTGAGCAGTTCATCTATAAATATTCAATGGAAAAGAGAGAAAAAAATGAATTTCCATGTACATGAAATTGTTTGTATTCATTATTATTTATCATCCTGTTTTTCTTCTTTTTTTCTCATTTCCAACTGTTCTTTACTATGATTTTAGTCACAAAAGGCTATTTTTTACATTTTCTTTTTATTATCTCATTTATTTTTTCATTTGAACCAGTGTACAATGTTCTTCTTATCCTGTCGTTGTCAAAGGAAAAATAGGAATTCACTCATGATAAACCTTGCTTCACTCAGCAAAACACAATTTCTAAATTTTAATTAGCAGTTTTTGACCTCTGAGTAATTCATATTACTGTGAATTGTGAACTGATGTAATAAAAATTAAAATTGAGTTTGTGAGCTGTAAAACATGATGTCATGATGTCAGCTGATACAAGCTGCTGCACTTCTGTTATCAGAGAGATTTTCCACAGATGATCATGTGATCAAGTTGGCTCGTGTTGATGCAGCTCTCCAGTTCCACTAATAAAGAGTTGTGTTACACTATTATTTCCTTTCAACTGTTCTTTAGTATGATTTTCAGCAATTGAGAACAGAATGCTCATTTTTAAATCTTGGGAAGACTCCATCACTGTAGCTATTCGGAAAAGCATATAGAATATGTACTACTGAACATGTATCATTGATCATGTTTTTGTCATGATTAAAAGAAATATGGAATTCATAAATGTCCTTATGAATGATGTCACGAATATCACCAACGAGGCTATGGACTCGATCTCCCAGAATCCTCTGGGAGATCACATGACCTCCTCACTGCCTACAGACTCCATTCCACACATGGACTACATCTCCCAGAGTGACTGACTGCTGATCTCCACACTCGCTCCTATCAGCGTTCACGATCGCCTGAGTTTTAATGTGTAACACCTGTATGTTTTATCACATACTACTTCAGACTAGCTTATAAGCCCGGGCTTTAGCAATAGTTAGTTGCGAGGTATTGCTTCATTCGTGAACTACTGAGCGTTATTTCTATGGTGTTGATTTTCGTGTATGACTTGTATTCTCGTTTCCCCGACTCTGATTTCTGGTTTACCCCTCTGGATTGTTTGCTTGGGTTCTCTGTTTTGTGCCTTGACATTTTTGACTGCTTTTTGACTACGAATGGATTCTGATTTCAACATTAAAGCCTGGTTGGACTCCTTTATCCGCAAGCGTCTACCTTCTGTGATCACCGTTACAAATGACTGTTTGCTTAGCAATAACAAAACTTTTAGAATCTCACAGTGCTCATTTTTGAGTAAAAAAGAAATCAAATTATGGAGAAAAAAATGAAATAAACTACACAGGGCAAAAATTAATAGCTGTATAAAATGTTGCTTGAGATTAATATATTGCATCTAAAAAGTATTGACCTCAAGAAGTGGAACAATTTTTCATTTTAACCATGAAAAAAACGGTGCAACATGTAAACTGTTTACATTTTAATGTTTGTTTTGTGAAATGTACAAATAATAAATTTTCCCTCAAATCTCTTGCTTGACAGACACAGACACTGAACATGTGAAAAAAGCTTCCTTCCAGTAATCAGCCTTCACGTTTTAACTGCACCTCCACAAGAAAACGTGCTGCTACCATGAAAACATCACGTTTACTTTGTTCTATGGTGTTTTCAAGGCCAAGATGAGATAAAACATATCAGCTATTGAAGATTTATTTTAGAGCGAGAATAAAAGCGTACACAACATTATTACAACACAGTTAATGACTAACTAGTGCACACTATAAATATATGCATATACTAGTCCACCACTTAACCCCAATAAGACAAAGGAAGCCTGTTAAGGATGAGAGCTGTTTCTCTGCTGGTGCTGCTGTGCTGCAGTTTGTTGGAGGGACAGTCGGTCAGTGTGAAGGACATCACTCTGAGTCATTATGAAGGCAAAGACAACCAGATTCAGGCTGAGGATCCCAGAACTGAACGTCCAGCCACAACCTCCACCCAACAAAGCTGCCAGCCGGACATCCACTCTGCACTGAGAGAGATGAGCGCTATGCTGGCAGAGCTGAAAGTTGAGCAGAGACACACGACGACTGCAGTGAACAGCATGGAGAGCAGACTGAGAGCCAGTGAGAGTCAAGTGGAGGAACTCAAGAGGAAGAATGAGGAGCAGAGTCAGATAAACCAAGGTGTGTCACTGAACAGGTTTCTGTCTTAATGTTAATCAAAGAGAAGTAAAAAACAATAAGTAGAGGAGACGTGGACGAGTGGTAACACTTTTTATCTCAGCCTTTATAACTGCTCATTTGCTCTATATCTTTCAAAGTTTGATAAAAGATACCATATCTGTCATTTCTGAGTCTCAGTCCTGGTGCTAGAGTCACACTGTCCTGCACTTTTAGAGTATTTCCTGCTTCCAAGACACCTGAACTACTTAAAAACCAAGTATCTGATTAAGAAGCTCCTCCTGAAGTGAGCTGGGTGTGTTAGAGCAGAGAGAGCATTACATGTAGGGCAGTGTTACTGCAGGACCAGGACTGAAAACCACAGAGTTAAAACATGAGACGCAACCTTTAACCAGCATTAATGTGAGTGTGAACCAAATTGCAACTTCACCGTCTCTCAAGCTGCACACAGTCAAATATGAACACACACAAGTTTCCCAGACAGTTTTGTTATTCAGTCACTCCATCTTTGTTGTATCTGTACAATCAAACTCCCATCTGGTAGAAGTGCATGTAAATTTTAGCATAATAGTTAAACAAAAAAGCTTAATTTGAGGTTAAGTAACCAAGCCTATTATCAATATCATTTATAATACCAGTAATAAGAATAAAATTAGAAACAACAATAATACTAATCCTTTCTGCACATAGAAATCCAAAAGTGGATGTACTTATTTTACATGCACATTGGTATAAACAAATGCTGCAACTAGTCCATGTTCCAAAAGTCATTAAATGCATCAAATCTGTGCTCTTTTTTTACACAAATTTGACATTTTCTGTTGTTGTTACATAAATAGGTCACACAAAGTCTCCCAGCTTTCAGTTTATATGACAACACACCCTGGTCTCCCCTATAATCTGAGAAACTGGTTTGAAATAACAATGATGCTTTTGCGCATGTTGTGTTCAATACATTTTATTCCATACTTTTATCTGAAGCTCAAACAGTGAATCAGAGCACCATGGAGGCGAGATTTGGGACTGAACTGGAGGAGCTGAAAAGAAAAAGTGATGGTAATTATTCATAATCTATTTTATCTATCTATTATAAGTGAAATAATTCAAGAATTGTGGGATTGGAATGCAGTTTTATGAAAATAAATGTGCTTTCACTTGAGATATGAATGACTGTAACAGATCTACTGTATGCATTGTTGCTTAGAGGAACTGAAAGACTTGAAAACCTCATTCAAGGTCACAGAGAACCAAGTGGAGAGCCTGAAACAGGAGAATCAAGGTAATCAATTCAACCGTCTATGGAGAAAATTGTCAAAAGAGAATGTAACATTTGAAGAAAGTGCTGACATCATTGCAGTTGAACATATTTTGTTGTTTTCAGACTAGCTTATAATTATTCAAAGGGTCCCACTTAATGTGTACAATCTAACTCATTTTCTAACAAACACACTAACACACATTTTTCTAATCTTCCTGATACTCACTGTGCAGCAGTTCATTCATCAACATGGTGTCAGGCACATTTTACAGTCATGCTGTCTAATGCTGACTGCAGTGCTTCATTCTGTTGTGCTGAGTTGGCTGTTACTAGATCTGTATAACAAACAGTTCATTATATATGGTAACTTGTTAAACTTGAGCAGTGTTACAAAATTTCAATTTCAATTCCAAAAAAGTTGGGACAGTATAACTTTAAGAACAACGTTCCTCAATAAGTGATTACAAGGAATTTGCTGTAACTAATATCAGTAAAAAATTAAGGGAATCTGGGCAAATCTGAAGTTCAAAATCTAGAGTCTGTCATGGTGGTTTGTAGGGAGGGGTTGTGAGTACCTTGCACATATGTGAAGGCACTGAAGGATATGCACATGTTGGAGAAATCGCTGTTGTCAGAAGAAAACCTCATATCTCCAAAATGGCAACTTTACAGGAGAATGATAAAACCTACTTTACTCTTAATGCTAGTCAATGGAACCAGACATTTTTCCAAGTCATTTTACGTCATTTCATTTAGTCTACACATCAGGAAATTTACATACAATGTAAAGGGTAACAGGTGTTTTCACATTATGTCCAAAACTGAAAAACATCAAAAATGGAGATACAACAGTGTTCTGACAACAGCGATATGCTGCCTTCTAGATGACATCTTCTTCAAACTCATTCAGGCTTATTTCAACATGACAAAGTCAAGCCACATACTTCACGTTACAACAGCATGACTGCATAAACATAGAGGGTGGGTGTTAGACTGGCCTGTCTGCAGTCCAAACCTGTCTCCCAATGAAAACACGTCTGCCTGCTACACTGGACTCACACCAGTTTGCCTACCGCTGCAACAGGTCAACGGAGGACACCATTTTTACAGCTCTCCACACTGTACTGACACACCTGGATTTTCAAAACTCATATATCAGAATGCTGTTCATTGACTTAAGTTTACCATTTAACACAGTGATCCCCACCAAGCTGATCTTAAAGCTTAACCAGCTTGGTATCAGCACATCTCTGTGCAATTGGACTCTGCACTTCCTGACTGACAGACCTCAGTCTGTTAATTTAGACAAACTCTTCTCCTCCACATCATCCTGAACACCGGCATACCACAAGGCTGTGTGCTGAGCCCTCTTCTGTACTCCCTGTTCACCCATGACTGTGTTCCTGTTTATGGCTCTAACTTCATAATCAAGCTCGCGGATGACACCACGATGATAGGTCTGATCAGAGGTGATGATGAGATGGCCTACACGGACGAGGTGCAGCACCGGGCGGCATGGTGTGACGACAACAACCTGGCGCTTAACCCCCAGATAACCAAGGGGATCATATTGGACTTTAGGAGGGGTAGGAGCCAGACACAGTCCCCCATCTACATCAGTGGAGCTGAGGTAGAGCGCGTGTCTGACTTCAAGTTCCTTGGTTTTCACATCTCTGATGATCTCACCTGGTTCCTAAACTCCTCCATTATAGTCAAAAAAGCAACAGTGTCTTTACTTCCTATGGAGCCTCAAGAAAGCTCACCTGTGTTCCGGGATACTGGTGAACTTTTACCACTGTACCATTGAGAGCATACTCACAAACTGCATCTTGGTGTGGTTCGGCAACTGCTCCGCATCTGACCGCAAAGCCCCCCAGCGGGTGGTGAAAACTGCGCAACGCATCACAGGAACCCAGTTACCCTCCATTGAGAATATTTTCCATATGCGCCGCCTGGACAGGGTGAGGAACATGATCAAGGACGTTTCTCATCCTAACCATGGACTTTTTACCCACCTCCCAACTAGCAGGCGTAACAGAAGCCTCCATTCCCGCACCAGCAGGGTCAGGAAGAGTTTCTTCCCTGAGGCTCCACACCTAATCTGCACCCGGTGTAAGCACCACCTCTGGACTCTGGAGCAGTGGAAACGTCAGCTTCTCTATCTGTCAGTCTGATGGATGAGTCTGGGTTTGGCGAATGCCAGGAGAACATTACCTGCCTGACTGCACTGTGCCAGCTGTAAAGTTTGGTGGAGGAGGGATGATGATATGGGGCTTTTTTTTAGGGGTTGATCTAGAACCCTTAGTTCCAGTGAAGGGAAATCTTAATGTTTCAGCACCAAGACATTTTGGACAATTGTACACTTCCAACTTTGTGGGAACAGTTTGGGGAAGAACCTTTCCTGTTCCAGCATGACTGAGCCCCAGTGCACAAAGCAGCTCCATAAAGGCCTGACTGGGTGAGTTTGGTGTGGAAGAACTTGACTGGCCCTCACAGAGCCCTGACCTCAACCCCATCACACACCTTTGAGATGAACTTGAACAGAGGTTGTGAGCCAGGCCCTCTCGTCTGACCTCACAAATGCTCTTCTGTATGAATGAGCAAAAATTCCCACAGACTCTCTCCAACATCTTGTAGGAAGCTTCCCAGAAGAGTGGAAGCTGTTAGAGCTGCAAAGGGGGACAATCTCCACGTTAATGCCTATGGATTTAGAATGGGATTCATAAAAGCTGCTGTAGGTGTAACGTGTAGGTGTCCCAATGCTTTTGTCCATACAGTGCATGTCAGTTTCACACAGAGTCTTCTAATTTATAACTTATTCCATTTAACGACCCACCCTGGTCTGGTCTGTAATGTGATACACTAACTTCAAATAACAGTGATTCTTTTGCTCATGTTGTGTTTTATTTTGCATTTTGTTTAATGTGTTAATCTGAAGCTCAAATGGTGAATCAGAGCACCATGGAGACAAGATTTGGGACTGAACTGAAGGAGCTGAAGAGAAAAAATGATGGTAATTATTTCAAATCTATTTGTTTATAATTGAAAAAGAGGAATATTCTCTTACATCCCAAGTTTTACTGTGTTCTATGAATTTCCGAGTATAGGATTTATTAAAGTAGACATACACATTCAGCTTTTTTGCATGAATAAAAAAACACCATTCAACATTAATCATTCCCAGATCAGTCTCAGAGAAAAAGTATACATACTCAGCATCACCCTTTCTTCGTGAATTGTTGGATTTTGAATATAGTTTTATGAAAATAAATGTGCTTTCACTTGAGATATGAATGACTGTAACAGATCTACTGTATGCACTGTTACTCAGAGGAACTGAAAGACTTGAAAACCTCATTCAAGGTCACAGAGAACCAAGTGGAGAGCCTGAAAGTGGAGAATCAAGGTAATCAATTCAAATTTCTATAAAACAGTTGAGAAAGATGTGAGAGGAGGATGTAGAATATAAAATGTGAGGAAGCTGCTGACATCATTGCACTTGTTGTTTTCAGACTAGCTTATAATGATTTAATGTACACAATCTAACTCACTTTCTAACCAACCTGAGATATACAGATTCAGCTGCAAATGAATCTGTATAATTAATAGTTCACTTCATGTGGCAAATTATTAAACTTGAACACTAATACTAAATTCCAATTGTAAAAAAAAATTAAATGCAAATAAAAAAAGCAGTAATTAATAAATCCACTTTGACCTGTAATTAAACGAAGACACTATAATGATATTTGGATTTAGATGTTTTATCTCATCGACTTTATTGCTAGTATAATACTGTAAGTCAGTATTAAAACAATGTTTTAATGTAATGAACAAGAACTAGAGTCAGTTTCCACGTTATGTGACTAAAAGTGTAAAATGTTCTGTTTATTGAAGAGAGAAAAGTGGCGTTTTCAGCATCACTTTTAGTAGATGGAGATGGTCATACTGGGCCATACAGCACTTTATTTCCTCTGGTCTACAAAAACGTCTTCACCAACATCGGCAAAGCTTACAACCCAGCTACAGGTGAACTGTTTCTAAAAGATTATATTGTACATGTATAGTATAACCATTCATAATTATTTTTTTCACAGTATATTTTAATGTATATAATATAAATATATAATTTTAAGAGATATATTTATATTAAAATAAATTCTAACTGAAAACTTTTTTGTCTGTTTTATCGCATTTGTCAAGATTCACTGTAATCATTTATACATTTACATGTAAATGATACATTCTGTAAAAATGACTAATGGACGGTTTGCTAAAATGCTAAACTCCTAAAAATATAATGTAATTTCGCAGTATAATGAACAGAGTTAAGGGAGGATTCTTCCTCCATTCCCACCATATATTATATAGTTTGCTATTTTTACCAATATTTACCTTTCAACAGGAATTTTCACTGCGCCTGTGAGAGGAGTCTACCAGTTCAGATTCCACATCCACGGATATAGTGGAAGAGTTGTAGCAGTGCAATTACATAAGAATGGACATCAGGTAGCTGGAACATATGCTTATCAGGACCAGCACAGAGTGAGTTCCTCTAATGGAGTCTCACTGTTACTGGAAGTAGGAGACGTCGTCTGTATTAAACTCCACCCTAATTCATGGATATATGATAGTGACTTTCATCATTGCACCTTTAGTGGTCACATGCTGTTTTCTATTTGAGCAGTTCATCTATAAATATTCAATGGAAAAGAGAGAAAAAAATGAATTTCCATGTACATGAAATTGTTTGTATTCATTATTATTTATCATCCTGTTTTTCTTCTTTTTTTCTCATTTCCAACTGTTCTTTACTATGATTTTAGTCACAAAAGGCTATTTTTTACATTTTCTTTTTATTATCTCATTTATTTTTTCATTTGAACCAGTGTACAATGTTCTTCTTATCCTGTCGTTGTCAAAGGAAAAATAGGAATTCACTCATGATAAACCTTGCTTCACTCAGCAAAACACAATTTCTAAATTTTAATTAGCAGTTTTTGACCTCTGAGTAATTCATATTACTGTGAATTGTGAACTGATGTAATAAAAATTAAAATTGAGTTTGTGAGCTGTAAAACATGATGTCATGATGTCAGCTGATACAAGCTGCTGCACTTCTGTTATCAGAGAGATTTTCCACAGATGATCATGTGATCAAGTTGGCTCGTGTTGATGCAGCTCTCCAGTTCCACTAATAAAGAGTTGTGTTACACTATTATTTCCTTTCAACTGTTCTTTAGTATGATTTTCAGCAATTGAGAACAGAATGCTCATTTTTAAATCTTGGGAAGACTCCATCACTGTAGCTATTCGGAAAAGCATATAGAATATGTACTACTGAACATGTATCATTGATCATGTTTTTGTCATGATTAAAAGAAATATGGAATTCATAAATGTCCTTATGAATGATGTCACGAATATCACCAACGAGGCTATGGACTCGATCTCCCAGAATCCTCTGGGAGATCACATGACCTCCTCACTGCCTACAGACTCCATTCCACACATGGACTACATCTCCCAGAGTGACTGACTGCTGATCTCCACACTCGCTCCTATCAGCGTTCACGATCGCCTGAGTTTTAATGTGTAACACCTGTATGTTTTATCACATGACTACTTCAGACTAGCTTATAAGCCCGGGCTTTAGCAATAGTTAGTTGCGAGGTATTGCTTCATTCGTGAACTACTGAGCGTTATTTCTATGGTGTTGATTTTCGTGTATGACTTGTATTCTCGTTTCCCCGACTCTGATTTCTGGTTTACCCCTCTGGATTGTTTGCTTGGGTTCTCTGTTTTGTGCCTTGACATTTTTGACTGCTTTTTGACTACGAATGGATTCTGATTTCAACATTAAAGCCTGGTTGGACTCCTTTATCCGCAAGCGTCTACCTTCTGTGATCACCGTTACAAATGACTGTTTGCTTAGCAATAACAAAACTTTTAGAATCTCACAGTGCTCATTTTTGAGTAAAAAAGAAATCAAATTATGGAGAAAAAAATGAAATAAACTACACAGGGCAAAAATTAATAGCTGTATAAAATGTTGCTTGAGATTAATATATTGCATCTAAAAAGTATTGACCTCAAGAAGTGGAACAATTTTTCATTTTAACCATGAAAAAACGGTGCAACATGTAAACTGTTTACATTTTAATGTTTGTTTTGTGAAATGTACAAATAATAAATTTTCCCTCAAATCTCTTGCTTGACAGACACAGACACTGAACATGTGAAAAAAGCTTCCTTCCAGTAATCAGCCTTCACGTTTTAACTGCACCTCCACAAGAAAACGTGCTGCTACCATGAAAACATCACGTTTACTTTGTTCTATGGTGTTTTCAAGGCCAAGATGAGATAAAACATATCAGCTATTGAAGATTTATTTTAGAGCGAGAATAAAAGCGTACACAACATTATTACAACACAGTTAATGACTAACTAGTGCACACTATAAATATATGCATATACCAGTCCACCACTTAACCCCAATAAGACAAAGGAAGCCTGTTAAGGATGAGAGCTGTTTCTCTGCTGGTGCTGCTGTGCTGCAGTTTGTTGGAGGGACAGTCGGTCAGTGTGAAGGACATCACTCTGAGTCATTATGAAGGCAAAGACAACCAGATTCAGGCTGAGGATCCCAGAACTGAACGTCCAGCCACAACCTCCACCCAACAAAGCTGCCAGCCGGACATCCACTCTGTACTGAGAGAGATGAGCGCTATGCTGGCAGAGCTGAAAGTTGAGCAGAGACACACGACGACTGCAGTGAACAGCATGGAGAGCAGACTGAGAGCCAGTGAGAGTCAAGTGGAGGAACTCAAGAGGAAGAATGAGGAGCAGAGTCAGATAAACCAAGGTGTGTCACTGAACAGGTTTCTGTCTTAATGTTAATCAAAGAGAAGTAAAAAACAATAAGTAGAGGAGACGTGGACGAGTGGTAACACTTTTTATCTCAGCCTTTATAACTGCTCATTTGCTCTATATCTTTCAAAGTTTGATAAAAGATACCATATCTGTCATTTCTGAGTCTCAGTCCTGGTGCTAGAGTCACACTGTCCTGCACTTTTAGAGTATTTCCTGCTTCCAAGACACCTGAACTACTTAAAAACCAAGTATCTGATTAAGAAGCTCCTCCTGAAGTGAGCTGGGTGTGTTAGAGCAGAGAGAGCATTACATGTAGGGCAGTGTTACTGCAGGACCAGGACTGAAAACCACAGAGTTAAAACATGAGACGCAACCTTTAACCAGCATTAATATGAGTGTGAACCAAATTGTAACTTCACCGTCTCTCAAGCTGCACACAGTCAAATATGAACACACACAAGTTTCCCAGACAGTTTTGTTTTTCAGTCACTCCATCTTTGTTGTATCTGTACAATCAAACTCCCATCTGGTAGAAGTGCATGTAAATTTTAGCATAATAGTTAAACAAAAAAGCTTAATTTGAGGTTAAGTAACCAAGCCTATTATCAATATCATTTATAATACCAGTAATAAGAATAAAATTAGAAACAACAATAATACTAATCCTTTCTGCACATAGAAATCCAAAAGTGGATGTACTTATTTTACATGCACATTGGTATAAACAAATGCTGCAACTAGTCCATGTTCCAAAAGTCATTAAATGCATCAAATCTGTGCTCTTTTTTTACACAAATTTGACATTTTCTGTTGTTGTTACATAAATAGGTCACACAAAGTCTCCCAGCTTTCAGTTTATATGACAACACACCCTGGTCTCCCCTATAATCTGAGAAACTGGTTTGAAATAACAATGATGCTTTTGCGCATGTTGTGTTCAATACATTTTATTCTATACTTTTATCTGAAGCTCAAACAGTGAATCAGAGCACCATGGAGGCGAGATTTGGGACTGAACTGGAGGAGCTGAAAAGAAAAAGTGATGGTAATTATTCATAATCTATTTTATCTATCTATTATAAGTGAAATAGAGGAATTTTCTCAAATGTCCTGTTTTAACTGTGCTCTATGAATTTCCAAGTGTGAAATCTGTTAAAGTAGATGTAAAATCATAAAAAGTCCACCACTCATCACACAAATATTGTTCTCAGCATTACCCATTCTTCAAGAATTGTGGGATTGGAATGCAGTTTTATGAAAATAAATGTGCTTTCACTTGAGATATGAATGACTGTAACAGATCTACTGTATGCATTGTTGCTTAGAGGAACTGAAAGACTTGAAAACCTCATTCAAGGTCACAGAGAACCAAGTGGAGAGCCTGAAACAGGAGAATCAAGGTAATCAATTCAACCGTCTATGGAGAAAATTGTCAAAAGAGAATGTAACATTTGAAGAAAGTGCTGACATCATTGCAGTTGAACATATTTTGTTTTCAGACTAGCTTATAATTATTCAAAGGGTCCCACTTAATGTGTACAATCTAACTCATTTTCTAACAAACACACTAACACACATTTTTCTAATCTTCCTGATACTCACTGTGCAGCAGTTCATTCATCAACATGGTGTCAGGCACATTTTACAGTCATGCTGTCTAATGCTGACTGCAGTGCTTCATTCTGTTGTGCTGAGTTGGCTGTTACTAGATCTGTATAACAAACAGTTCATTATATATGGTAACTTGTTAAACTTGAGCAGTGTTACAAAATTTCAATTTCAATTCCAAAAAAGTTGGGACAGTATAACTTTAAGAACAACGTTCCTCAATAAGTGATTACAAGGAATTTGCTGTAACTAATATCAGTAAAAAATTAAGGGAATCTGGGCAAATCTGAAGTTCAAAATCTAGAGTCTGTCATGGTGGTTTGTAGGGAGGGGTTGTGAGTACCTTGCACATATGTGAAGGCACTGAAGGATATGCACATGTTGGAGAAACATATCGCTGTTGTCAGAAGAAAACCTCATATCTCCAAAATGGCAACTTTACAGGAGAATGATAAAACCTACTTTACTCTTAATGCTAGTCAATGGAACCAGACATTTTTCCAAGTCATTTTACGTCATTTCATTTAGTCTACACATCAGAATATTTACATACAATGTAAAGGGTAACAGGTGTTTTCACATTATGTCAAAAACTGAAAAACATCAAAAATGGAGATACAACAGTGTTCTGACAACAGCGATATGCTGCCTTCTAGATGACATCTTCTCCGGCTTATTTCAACATGACAAAGTCAAGCCACATACTTCACGTTACAACAGCATGACTGCATAAACATAGAGGGTGGGTGTTAGACTGGCCTGTCTGCAGTCCAAACCTGTCTCCCAATGAAAACACGTCTGCCTGCTACACTGGACTCACACCAGTTTGCCTACCGCTGCAACAGGTCAACGGAGGACACCATTTTTACAGCTCTCCACACTGTACTGACACATCTGGATTTTCAAAACTCATATATCAGAATGCTGTTCATTGACTTAAGTTTACCATTTAACACAGTGATCCCCGCCAAGCTGATCTTAAAGCTTAACCAGCTTGGTATCAGCACATCTCTGTGCAATTGGACTCTGCACTTCCTGACTGACAGACCTCAGTCTGTTAATTTAGACAAACTCTTCTCCTCCACATCATCCTGAACACCGGCATGCCACAAGGCTGTGTGCTGAGCCCTCTTCTGTACTCCCTGTTCACCCATGACTGTGTTCCTGTTTATGGCTCTAACTTCATAATCAAGCTCGCGGATGACACCACGATGATAGGTCTGATCAGAGGTGATGATGAGATGGCCTACGCGGACGAGGTGCAGCACGGCATGGTGTGACGACAACAACCTGGCGCTCAACCCCCAGATAACCAAGGGGATCATATTGGACTTTAGGAGGGGTAGGAGCCAGGCACAGTCCCCCATCTACATCAGTGGAGCTGAGGTAGAGCGCGTGTCTGACTTCAAGTTCCTTGGTTTTCACATCTCTGATGATCTCACCTGGTTCCTAAACTCCTCCATTATAGTCAAAAAAGCAACAGTGTCTTTACTTCCTATGGAGCCTCAAGAAAGCTCACCTGTGTTCCGGGATACTGGTGAACTTTTACCACTGTACCATTGAGAGCATACTCACAAACCGCATCTTGGTGTGGTTCGGCAACTGCTCCACATCTGACCGCAAAGCCCCCCAGCGGGTGGTGAAAACTGCGCAACGCATCACAGGAACCCAGTTACCCTCCATTGAGAATATTTTCCATATGCGCCGCCTGGACAGGGTGAGGAACATGATCAAGGACGTTTCTCATCCTAACCATGGACTTTTTACCCACCTCCCAACTAGCAGGCGTAACAGAAGCCTCCATTCCCGCACCAGCAGGGTCAGGAAGAGTTTCTTCCCTGAGGCTCCACACCTAATCTGCACCCGGTGTAAGCACCACCTCTGGACTCTGGAGCAGTGGAAACGTCAGCTTCTCTATCTGTCAGTCTGATGGATGAGTCTGGGTTTGGCGAATGCCAGGAGAACGTTACCTGCCTGACTGCACTGTGCCAGCTGCAAAGTTTGGTGGAGGAGGGATGATGATATGGGGCTTTTTTTTAGGGGTTGATCTAGAACCCTTAGTTCCAGTGAAGGGAAATCTTAATGTTTCAGCACCAAGACATTTTGGACAATTGTACACTTCCAACTTTGTGGGAACAGTTTGGGGAAGAACCTTTCCTGTTCCAGCATGACTGAGCCCCAGTGCACAAAGCAGCTCCATAAAGGCATGACTGGGTGAGTTTGGTGTGGAAGAACTTGACTGGCCCTCACAGAGCCCTGACCTCAACCCCATCACACACCTTTGAGATGAACTTGAACAGAGGTTGTGAGCCAGGCCCTCTCGTCTGACCTCACAAATGCTCTTCTGTATGAATGAGCAAAAATTCCCACAGACTCTCTCCAACATCTTGTAGGAAGCTTCCCAGAAGAGTGGAAGCTGTTAGAGCTGCAAAGGGGGACAATCTCCACGTTAATGCCTATGGATTTAGAATGGGATTCATAAAAGCTGCTGTAGGTGTAACGTGTAGGTGTCCCAATGCTTTTGTCCATACAGTGTATGTCATTTCCACACAGAGTCTTCTAATTTATAACTTATTCCATTTAACGACCCACCCTGGTCTGGTCTGTAATGTGATACACCAACTTCAAATAACAGTGATTCTTTTGCTCATGTTGTGTTTTATTTTGCATTTTGTTTAATGTGTTAATCTGAAGCTCAAATGGTGAATCAGAGCGCCATGGAGACAAGATTTGGGACTGAACTGAAGGAGCTGAAGAGAAAAAATGATGGTAATTATTTCAAATCTATTTGTTTATAATTGAAAAAGAGGAATATTCTCTTACATCCCAAGTTTTACTGTGTTCTATGAATTTCCGAGTATAGGATTTATTAAAGTAGACATACACATTCAGCTTTTTTGCATGAATAAAAAAACACCATTCAACATTAATCATTCCCAGATCAGTCTCAGAGAAAAAGTATACATACTCAGCATCAGCCATTCTTCATGAATTGTTGGATTTTGAACATAGTTTTATGAAAATAAATGTGCTTTCACTTGAGATATGAATGACTGTAACAGATCTACTGTATGCACTGTTACTCAGAGGAACTGAAAGACTTGAAAACCTCATTCAAGGTCACAGAGAACCAAGTGGAGAGCCTGAAAGTGGAGAATCAAGGTAATGAATTCAAATTTCTATAAAACAGTTGAGAAAGATGTGAGAAGAGGATGTAGAATATAAAATGTGAGGAAGCTGCTGACATCATTGCACTTGTTGTTTTCAGACTAGCTTATAATGATTTAATGTATACAATCTAACTCACTTTCTAACCAACCTGAGATATACAGATTCAGCTGCAAATGAATCTGTATAATTAATAGTTCACTTCATGTGGCAAATTATTAAACTTGAACACTAATACTAAATTCCAATTGTAAAAAAAAATTAAATGCAAATAAAAAAAGCAGTAATTAATAAATCCACTTTGACCTGTAATTAAACGAAGACACTATAAAGATATTTGGATTTAGATGTTTTATCTCATCGACTTTATTGCTAGTATAATACTGTAAGTCAGTATTAAAACAATGTTTTAATGTAATGAACAAGAACTAGAGTCAGTTTCCACGTTATGTGACTAAAAGTGTAAAATGTTCTGTTTATTGAAGAGAGAAAAGTGGCGTTTTCAGCATCACTTTTAGTAGATGGAGATGGTCATACTGGGCCATACAGCGCTTTATTTCCTCTGATCTACAAACACGTCTTCACCAACATCGGCAAAGCTTACAACCCAGCTACAGGTGAACTGTTTCAAAAAGATTATATTGTACATGTATAGTATAACCATTCATAATTATTTTTTGCACAGTATATTTTAATGTATATAATATAAATATATAATTTTAAGAGATATATTTATATTAAAATAAATTCTAACTGAAAACTTTTTTGTCTGTTTTATCGCATTTGTCAAGATTCACTGTAATCATTTATACATTTATATGTAAATGATACATTCTGTAAAAATGACTAATGGACGGTTTGCTAAAATGCTAAACTCCTAAAAATATAATGTAATTTCGCAGTATAATGAACAGAGTTAAGGGAGGATTCTTCCTCCATTCCCACCATATATTATATAGTTTGCTATTTTTACCAATATTTACCTTTCAACAGGAATTTTCACTGCGCCTGTGAGAGGAGTCTACCAGTTCAGATTCCACATCCACGGATATAGTGGAAGAGTTGTAGCAGTGCAATTACATAAGAATGGACATCAGGTAGCTGGAACATATGCTTATCAGGACCAGCACAGAGTGAGTTCCTCTAATGGAGTCTCACTGTTACTGGAAGTAGGAGACGTCGTCTGTATTAAACTCCACCCTAATTCATGGATATATGATAGTGACTTTCATCATTGCACCTTTAGTGGTCACATGCTGTTTTCTATTTGAGCAGTTCATCTATAAATATTCGATGGAAAAGAGAGAAAAAAATGAATTTCCATGTACATGAAATTGTTTGTATTCATTATTATTTATCATCCTGTTTTTCTTCTTTTTTTCTCATTTCCAACTGTTCTTTACTATGATTTTAGTCACAAAAGGCTATTTTTTACATTTTCTTTTTATTATCTCATTTATTTTTTCATTTGAACCAGTGTACAATGTTCTTCTTATCCTGTCGTTGTCAAAGGAAAAATAGGAATTCACTCATGATAAACCTTGCTTCACTCAGCAAAACACAATTTCTAAATTTTAATTAGCAGTTTTTGACCTCTGAGTAATTCATATTACTGTGAATTGTGAACTGATGTAATAAAAATTAAAATTGAGTTTGTGAGCTGTAAAACATGATGTCATGATGTCAGCTGATACAAGCTGCTGCACTTCTGTTATCAGAGAGATTTTCCACTTTCAGACTATCATGTGATCAAAGTCATCATGTGGCTTGTCTTGATGAGACTCTCCAGTTCCACTAATTAACACCTGCATCACACATATTCTTAAAATAGGTACTACAGAGCTTATTTATAGTGTTTCCTCCTTGGACAGAGAAGCCAGAGTGCTTCCCTTCACACTGAGATATCTTTAATATTAAAATATCAGTTCACTATTAATACAGAACAACATCCTACAGGCCACAGTAGTTTTCAGCATCAGACCTTGTTTAATGTAGGTAATGAGTGAGTTGAGTCTGCTGACTACAAACAGGTAAAACAATAAAATGTTCAAGACTGTGGCCTCCAGGACTGGAGCTGTGCGTCACTGCATTAATGGGGTGATTATCACTTGTAAAAGCATCACGAACACTGTGACACAGCAAAACCACCAGACTGTGACAGTTTTATTTAGTTTGGTGAAACTCGTGAGTGAGAGAACGTTTGATGCTTTCAGGCTGGATTCACACTGAGAAACGTTCATGTATCCAGTTGCATGTTGTGAGAGGCCTGTTAATCCTTAATCAGCCATTATGGTTATAGCCTACTTGACATCCCACTCATCTTGAACTACAAGCACTGAAGTTCATTATGAACCACATCTTCTGTAATAATTTCCATCATCTGGATCCCAAATGAATCTGAGCTCTGAAAATGAATCTACATTGATCACAACAACAGCAGACCAAAGGAGAATAAACTGTGGCCAGAACAGCTGTTTAAACAGCTGTTACCAAGCTAGTTACAGCAGCTACTGTACCTGTCCTGCATCTTGTGATGCATTACAGGAATTTTGATAGGCTATTTGAGTTGCAGAACATTTTACATTATTAGGTTTCAAGCAACTAATGTTGCATTTAAGCCATCCTCACGCACCCATTACTCCTAAGATCCAATCCAGCGTTAACAATCGAGCTTGAAGAACTGTGTAAAATCTTGTCTTATTGCAGGAAGTAAGATACAGTGATCCACAATGATGTTATACTTTATGTAGCTTTTAGCTGAAGCAATTCATACAAGTGCTTTCTATTAAAATCAGATTTCAGTGTCTTTGTTATTTATTTAGTGCTGAAAAATTTCTGCTGAATAAAATGTTACAAAAAAAAAAATACTGTACTGTCCTTTCTTTGCTGTGCACTGGTCATAGCAATGTAGCCCATGTGAACGAGTTACTATGTTTGGGGCTCATTAACGAAGGATAATGTTTAACCTAGGTTCGTGAGAGGGGTTTAAATCACTCACAATAATACAGGACTTACAGAACATGAACAGTGACATTTATTGTACACCACATTGCGTATTCAAATCTTTTTCTTTGGCTTGCAAAAAAAATCTAAATAAAATAAAGAGTGAAATAAAAGTCGAGAGCTCTCTGTATCAAAATAAAGGAGTCAAACATGTTTTTCCTCCTGTGTGTGTGTATGTGTAACAACGTCCATCTACCCGGGTAGTGTGTTACGAATGTAAATCTTATCTGGGTTCCAGAAGTCTTGAATGCACTGAAGATGAAGTTCAGTCCGCTCATAACGCAAGGTTCCAGGTCTCCTCATTCAAGTCCAGGGCTCGGCTTGCCATTCCAAAATCGTCAAGTACAAAAACCAATCTGCATTTGGCAAAGCAAACAATAACCAATTTCAACACAAAAAAGGGTACAGTTCCAAGTAGCCTACGTGCACAACTGCCCATGCATTTTAGCTCAATTAAGATTTTACATTTTACATTTACTTACACAAGCAATCAAAGCTTCCACAGTTATTCACTTAAACGTATATACATGAATAAAACTGTAGCTGTGATAGTTTACCGAGAATACAATTAAAATACTATGTTGGATGGATTCAGCAACAAACAATAAACAAACAACACAAAAGGCAATTGGTAATAAAAGAATAATCTTGCATGAAAAATAAAGCTCCGATTGGTTTTCTTAGCTCCCATTAACCTGAACTTAGGATAATAACTGAACTTGTGAGTTAGCCATAGAAACAACATAAGGAAATCAACTCACCAGAGTTCTTGCGTTCAGTGGAATAACTCAGAAGTACATTCGAAGTCTTGATGAAATAGAAAGGATGCTCTTCATTTCAGGTGGATACATAACTCAAAACGTGCAAATTACTCCAGTATTTCACAATCAAACAGTGTTTTTCTTCCCAGTTAACTCAACAGCCATTTCTTTTCAACACGTTGTTGGAAAATGGAAGCTATCGCTTCCTTAGGTGGAGCCTCGTATTACTTGACAGATCACACTCTACAGGTTGGTTATAATAAAACTCTATTAAATAACCAAAATAACGTATAGGGGTTACACCTGCACAGATCCATATCTTTCGGATAGCCCGGCCAGTAGAACCTCTGCCACAATCGCTTCCTCATCTTGCCCACACTAAAGTACACCATGCCAGCCGCTGCATGCACCGTCTTCCTCAGGTTACATAGCACCAGCAGCTGCCACACACGTTTCTCTGGCACCAGCTCCTCCAACAGGCAGTACAGCATCTCGTTGTGCATCCGGAGGCTGTACCAGCCAGCTTGAAGCACCTTACCAGTGGGGCCTTGTGGTGTCATGTCAGCCCAGCCCAGATTCTGCCAGCACACTGGTCGCTCCGGTGCAACTTGCTCCAGAGCCACTCGGTGGGTCATCTCCTTCTCGAGCTCCTCCAACGCATAGTGACGTGTTGCTCGCCATGGCCTTCCTCACACCAAGGATGAGCTCCGCTCTCTCTGCATCAGTGATGGCTGCTTGAAGGCGGGTAAGTGTGTTGAGCTTTAAGTGCCGTCTCAGCTTCTCTGGCAGCAGTGCATTCAGGAAGCGCTTCAGCACAAACTCCTACTACACAGCCTCAGCTCCACCGCCAGCATGCTTATCCACTCTCCCTTAAGTCCCTGCCTCTCAGGGAGCATTGCTGGAGGTTCGTGGTCAATGCTGGAAGATCGTCATCTGAAGGCTCCTTCGAAGCATGGTAAGTGGATGTGCATCATCTCTCTCTCTCACTGGGTTTCTGCTGGGCTACACTGCTGAACCTCGCTGCACTGTTTCATTTGCTGTTTCCCTCAGGCAGCCATCTCGCTTTCAGCTGGCTCGACCCATCTGGGTTGGTGCAGGCAAAGTGCTCAGTACCCCTTTCCGCTGGGCTCTGTCTTCCTCACTATCCACCTTTGAGTTTCCTGATTCACCACTTGACTTCGTCCAGCTCAACAGCCATATCCCACTTCTGACACCAATGTTGCATCAACCTAGAAGAAGACACAGAAAATGAAGCATGTTTAGGTGAATGCTCTTTTATTTTTAACAGGCACTTTAAGGGACTCCAAGAAATGCTCAGCCCAGTGCTAATCACAGCATGAAAAACAAGGAGTAGATAAAGGAGGGCATGACAATCGAGGAGGGTAAACACTTCTTTCTACTTCTTAAACACATAGTCCACCCTCCTCAGACACAGTTTACTCTAAACAACACAACTACACTAAATAACAGCATACTACACTTAGAAAAGCATACAGAATACGTACTACTAAATGTGTACCATTGGTCATGATCTTGTCACAATTAAAAGAAATAAGGAACTCATAAATGTCCTTATGAATGACTGTTTGCTTAGCAGTAACAAAACTTTCAGAATCTCACAGTGCTCATTTTTGAGTTAAAAAGGAATCAAATTAAATAAATTACACAGGGCAAAAATGAATGGCCGTACATAATCTTATTGACCATATAACGCTGATGCTATGTGCTGTAGCACAAATTAAAATATTGTTGCTTTGAGATTAACATAATACATCTAAAAAGTATGGATCTCAAGAAGTGGAACAATTTATCTTTTTAACTATGAACTTTCAATAGTTTACATATTGTGCCTG